CAACCGGGAATGCAACATACTTATGCCATTTAGGCTAGGTGCGTAAAGTAAACGTTTTAACAGTTTTAGGAAATCTAATAATAATTTATTTTGCTTATTCAGCGTATCGTTGGAATCGTGCCCCCATGTCATATTACCATGTTCATTTCATATCACCATGTTCCCATGTTATATCACCATGTTCATTTCATATCACCATGTTTCCATGTTACATCACCATGTCCATGTCATATCACCATGCTCCCATGTTATATCACCATGTTCATATCATATCACCATGCTCCCATGTTATATCACCATGTTCATTTCATATCACCATGCTCCCATGTTATATCACCATGTTCATTTCATATCACCATGTTTCAATGTTACATCACCATGTCCATGTCATATCACCATGCTCCCATGTTATATCACAATGTTCATTTCATATCACCATGTTCCCATGTTACATCACCATGTCCATGTCATATCACCATGCTCCCATGTTATATCACCATGTTCACTTCATATCACCATGCTCCCATGTTATATCACCATGTTCATGTCATATCACCATGCTCCCATGTTATATCACCATGTTTATTTCATATCACCATGCTCCCATGTTATATCACCATGTTCATTTCATATCACCATGCTCCCATGTTATATCACCATGTTCACTTCATATCACCATGCTCCCATGTTATATCACCATGTCCATGTCATATCACCATGCTCCCATGTTATATCACCATGTTCATTTCATATCAACATGTTCCCATGTTATATCACCATGTTCATTTCATATTACCTGCTCCCATGTTATATCACCATGTTTGTTTTATATCATCATGCCCCAATGTTATATCACCATTATTTCATCATGCTAAATATTGTGTCCACTTTAATACTACTTAGGCCTATATCTTATCTTACAAAATAAATATATATAGGCCTATTCTATACCATGCCATTATAAAAAATGCTTCCAATTCAATATTTTCCTCAATAACTAGTAATTGTTTGGGCGTTATCAGTTACTCTATTCTTCAAATGGACTTATTATTTCCTCTTGTTTTAAGATACACACAAATGGAGAGAGAAACGCTGAACCGAAAATGGGAGCAGGAAGCAACCAGAGCGGCGAATACAAGCACAACCGTTACAAGGACTGAATTATAAAATTAAAATAGAACTTTTTGACATTAGGACATTTGTAATTTTTAACAATAGGCTCAGACTTCCGTAACACTATAGTATCTGATATATTTTGTATATTTTGTATATTTCTAAATAAAATATAGGTTTTGTATTAGTATTTAATATTGAGTGTTTTGTACAAAATACACAGGGGGCGTTTCAACATTAACATGGAAGGACTCTTCCCTGTGACGCACGCTGTAAGACCTTGTTTGAATGACTTGACAAATATTTCAGTCTGCCCATTTGTGGATGGTTCATAGAGGGCACTGTTTTATGCTGAACTCCGTGGATTTGTATTATATATTGCTCTTATTTGGTAACCATTCTACTAAATAAAGTACTCAAAACTCTTATAGTTCTCTCAGAAGTTATAGATGTGATTTCGAACACTTCTGGCCATTTTGAATACGCGTCCACGACAACAAGGTAACTGCAATTTTCAAATGGGCCTGTGTAATATGAATTCTCTCCAATGGATTTGAATCTGGTACCCACGGATGAAGCAAAGCTTTTGAGGGGTTATGTTGGATTTTCTGACATGGTTCGCAGAACTTTGCTTGTTCTTCTATTAATTATTAAATACTTCAGTACGAAATTTGGTTGGGACAATGACACGTAAACCCCATAACAAGCAACCCTGTTCAATGGTTATCTCGTCTTTGCGATGAGAAAAAGCTTGCATAGCTAGCTTACTTTCAGATAATTTTGTCGGACAACCATCAATGGTACACCTCATTAAAATCAAAATCAGGTCATTCCTTGTTTGATTCGCTATTTTTCTACTACTAACTGAAAGAATATCAAGATGGAAAACATGACCTACCACTTCCTCAAAGGTTTCTGTTGGCTGATTATACAGTTACCTTGAAAAGGTATCAGAATTTTCATTTTCCTTACTACTACGAAACCGTGTTTCATTATTGAAACCAGCCAAGTACATTGCCCATCTTTGGATTATTTCAGCAGCTAGCATCGGTAGATCAAGTTTATCTCCAAAAAATGCTGAATAAGGGTTTATTGTCAGTCCATAGAATTAACTTACGGCCATACAAAAACGCATAAAATCGCTTGAGACCGAATATTATAACAAGACCTTCCCTTTGAACTTGCGGATAATTTTTCTCAGCTTGCGACAGGCCTCACGAAGCGAATCGGATTGGACGTACTACACAATTTGGCATGATATGTGATATGACATTACCCTATCCCACTGGAGATGCATCGGTTACTAAAGGGATAGGATGATTGGGATCATTGACTAGGAACCCTGACTAAATGAGTTTTCTCTCGGATTTTTCAAAAGCATCATTGGCACTCTGATTCCACTCACACTTCGTTTTCTCCATAATAGTGCATTGAGAGGAGCAATCACGGATGCTAAGTCTGGTATGAAACGACGGTAATAATTCAATTTGCCAAGGTATGAACGGAGACTAGTGACATCATTTGGTTGACTAACTTGGAGTATTTCATCCACTTTCTTTTCAGATTTGTGGACCCCGTGTTTATTAATGACACGTCCGAGGTAGGATATTGAGCTTTTCATGAACTCACATTTGGAATTCTTGAATTTTAAGCCATATTCATTCAAGCGTGACAGAACACGATCAAGATTAGTTGGGGTACACTTGTACCCCAACTAATACCATGTAAGATTCGCTCAATGACAGGTTACCAGATAGCCGGGGCAGAAGTGATACCATAGACAAGTCTATTTTGCATGAGCAGACCCTTTTAAGTAGTAAGAGTCAAGTATTGCTTGGATGTGTCAGTTAACTACATCTGGTTGTAAGCATGAGCTAAGTCTAACTTGGAGAACGAGACACCTCCAGACTAAAATATTGTCAACATTTATTTTTGGCGATGCCACGTGCTTCAGCACTGGATTAATTGTGGTCTTATAATTCCCCCACAACCGTATACTACCGTCCGATTTTGGAACAGAAACAATACATGTAGCCCATTCTGAATGGCTAACTGGGGTGAGAACACCACCTTTTTATAACCTGCAAAGTTCCAGGTCAACCTTTGGCCTTACAGCATATGACACCCTGTACCCTTTAGACTTCACAGGTGTTACATCATCTTGCAGTACACTATCTGCTTAAATATGTTTCATTTTACCCAATGTACCATCAAATACATACTCATGTTTCTTTAATAATGTATCCAGACTACCAACAGATTCAAACTTGGCTTTCACATTTTTGACTTCAGATACTGATGTATTTTCAGGTTTTGACTTAAGATTACCCTGTACAACATTTTTCCAATTTATCTGAATTTCTCTCAGCCAATTTCTAGTAGTAGTACATGCGTGGTGTGTATTAATGTTTGGTAACAATTTACATTGTTTCCCATATTTAACACTTACTTTAATTCTACCAACTGGTTTTACACCTTCCCCTGTAAAGCTACAAAATTGCTTATTAGATGTCAACAATTGCGCATCAGCAAATTGTTGAAGATATAAATCATCTGATCATGGGGCAATATAGAAACAGCTGAATAATTCAAGCGTTGTTTCATCTTTTGTTTATAACTCAGAACGAGGCACCGTAGCGCCACCTATATCGTACCAACTGGATGAAGCACAATAAAAATACATGACACGAAATTTAATATCCGTTGTCCTGTGTCATATTTTGATCGGTAAAATTTTAGGCTTTATTTCAATAGCAGAACATAATTATCTAACTGCACAATGAGTAGAAAGACACTTTGATTAATTGTTCTACCAAAGGAATTTAATATAGGTGGTCTATTAAACATGCAGTTAATGAAAATCGAATCGAATACAAACCTGTGGCCGCCATTTGTGACAACGGAATCGGACTTAACCGTTGTCAGGGTATTCCGGTGTGAACATTATATCAACTCTGTCTCTGTAAATAGTATGTATATTAGCAAAGTTTGGACTGGTAGGAGTTAATTTGTTATTTTTACACATGATATGTGCAACCACTGGTCAGAACCAAGAAGCATGAATAGAAATAGAAAATTTAATATAGAATAGCATACTGTAGCTATGGCAATAATAATGAGATGAAGGAACACGTGGCTTGAGCAACAGTCAATATCGGCCTATCCTATAATGATATTAACGAGTATAAACAGAACTGGAATGTTGTAATTTATGTTATTGATAATCGATGAGTCTTGGGTACTAGGAAACATAATGGCCAAGGGTCTATCCTAAGACCCAAGACAAACGGTTTATCTTAAACCATACGCTGGGCATTAACTCTTATGAAAGGTAAATAGTCCATGGTCCAATTTTAGGAAAAGTCGGTTTTTTATTGACTATGAGGTAAGTGTACTAAAAATGAGTGGATGTAATTCGATCAGCTTCAGTGTACTGCATGTAACATGTGTTCATTGTTAAAAATGTACAAATATATCCAACTTGAAATAAATATTGATATGATATAAAATGGTTGGATATCGCGTATTAACTAATAAACACACGCGAGGTGAACATTATCAACTAAACTTTTATCTCTTAATCCTCCCGCGCATATTTCTTCTTACATTTGATGTTTTTAGGAATATTTTGACAAAATAATTATTGGGAAATGTAAAATAATGCATAGTTATAACAAAACTTTTTTCACCAGATTTTGATAACTTCTTTATCTGCCCGCCGCAGTGTCTATTCCGACACATTGATTAGAAGTTCCAAGGAATCTATCAAGAGTCGCATTTTTGCGATTAAGGTAAAAATGCAAATAAGATAAACACATTTTTGTGACAAGAAAAATTCCATGTTCAAAATGTGATTTAACCTTAAATTGGAATTTCTTCGTTTGCAGAAGTTTCTGAGGCTATGTATGCCTTAGGCAAAGATATAACAGCTTGCGACCAAGTGAAGGAAATCGAGAAACAAGCAACATTAATGTGTGGATTGGGTAAAGAATATGCAGATTTAGCGGAACAAACTGGAGAAGGATGGCACTTCAACTACGCAACAGCCCTGTTTAATGCCGCTCTTCAGCGCTTGATGAAATGTCAGGCTGAACATAAGGTGAACTTGTTCGATCGTGTTGAATTTATACATAATCAATTGCAACAATTAGAAACGAACTTTTTAAAAGCTGTCTGCAAAGAAAACAAAGAATCTCTCACAGACTGCATGAAAAGATATAAGAGTATTTTGAAAGATATTCGAAAATATTCTACAGAGACGATAGAAAATATCCACACCGAAGATATGATATTTGACAATGAGACGTTTGAGATGAGCAAAGAAACCCAAATAAGGACAATTGCAAACAGTAAGACGTACTATGAGACTCTCACTGATAAAATCATAGATTTACACGCGCTCATGATAAATGATTGCATTTCAGTTCTAGGTCATCCTGACTGTAAGTTTTCAATATTAGGTTTGGGTTCTCTATCTCGGAAAGAGGTGACTGCATGGTCTGACCTCGAGTCAGCAGTCTTATACGATGCTACTGGTAAGACAGAGGGGGAAATCGAGCTTTTAAAACGCGATTTTAGAATTCTTGTTCATTATTTCCACATGAAGGTTATCAATCTCGGCGAAACACTGATCAACGGCTTGGATATCCCCGTTCTTAACGATTGGAACAGTAGACTCCCTAAAAGGTTTAAAGATAATGATTTCTGGGATAAAATAACCCCACAAGGACTCTGTTTTGACGGTACACAGCCAAAGGCAAGTAAGATACCATTTGGTAGAAGGTCTACCAAGAACCCTTCAAAACAACCTAGTTTAGAATTGATAATGACCCCGGATGAAATGTCTGAATGTCAGATTGAACAAGTCTCCCTTAAAGAAGGCTATCATCTCAGTGATGTACTGTTAACATCTACCCTCATCACAGGAGATAAATCATTGTGGAAAGAATACAATGACAAGGTTCACGAAATGCTTTTCTCTCGTTCAACGATTGATCCAAATATGTCTGTGGGTAGAAAAAGGGGGTTAGAAACATTGAGGGAAGATTTACAAAGTTATCTTACTAAACCTCTTACACCAGAGTCATTCAATAGACAAATGAAAACAAAACACAATATCTACCGATTTGCAACCATATCTATAAACACTCTTAAATTGTTGCACCATTGCAAATGTTTTGCTCCCCTTGATATCCTCAATGAGTTAGGGAAAAAGAAAGTACTAAGTGACAGAGCTAAAACAGATTTACAGTTCATGGTTTGTGCTGCCACGAACATGCGTCATCTAGTTTACGGAAGGTATGGTCAACAACGGGAACTGGTATCTTTTGTAAACAGACCATCAAAAGAAGAATTGATCGGAGCCCTAGACACTATGTCAGTTAGAGATTATGCACCAGTTATTTTCCGGTTCTATGCAACTCTAACATCATGGACAGACTTTTTGTTGTATAACTTCTGTTTTAATGATATTTCGACGTGTACTCACGCGTCCCAATATGCAGATAGCAATTCCGAGGTGACTGCGAAAGTACAAGAGAAAATGTATATGTTCCAAAGTGCAATAAATTCTCTCGAACGCCAAAGAAGCAAACTTCCCCTTAATAACGCGGAGAGTAAGAAAAAATTCCGTGATATTCAACTCCATTTATCACAGTTGTTTATTTCACAGGGAAAGTTCAATGAATCCATAAGGCAAATCGAAAAAGATGCATCTGAAGAGAATGAAGATACTTCATCGACACTAAACACACTTGCAACTGCACATTTTCATAAAGGTGAGCTTGACAAAGCGATAAAATATTACAACGAGAGTCTTGCCATGCTGAGAACAATACACGGCAAAAATCCTCATCCTGACATAGCATCTGCGTTGGGTAATCTTGGGTTCGCTTATGACAGTAAAGGTAAGTTTGATAAAGCGATTCGATATCACAAAGAGAGTCTTGAAATGCAGCAAATAATACACGGTATTTGTCCTCATCCTAATATTGCAGCTACATTGGGAAATCTTGGTTCAACTTACGACAGTAAAGGTGAGTTTGATAAAGCGATTCAATATCACAAAAAGGGTCTTGTCATGTTGAGATCAATAAACGGTAACCATCCTCATCCCGAGGTAGCAACTTCATTGCTTAATCTTGGTAACACACATACCCGAAAGGGTGAGTTTGATGAAGCAATTCAGTTGTACAAGGAGTGTCTTACAATGCAGAAAACAATACACGGTGATAATCCTCATCCTGATATAGCATCTTCCTTAAGTAATCTTGGTAGCGCATACAAAAGTAAAGGTGAGTTTGATAAATCGATTCAGTATCACAATAAGAGTCTTGCTATGGAAAGAACAATACACGGGAACAATCCTCACCCTAACATAGCATCTACATTAGGGAGTCTCGGTTGCGCATACGAGAGTAAAGGTGAGTTTGATAAAGCGATTCAATATCACAAAGACTGCCTAATAATGCAGAGAACGGTACACGGTGATAATCCTCATCCTGATGTAGCATCTACATTGGGGAATCTTGGTAACGCATACAGAAGTAAAGGTGAGTTTGATAAAGCGATTCGATATCTCAAGGAGAGTCTTAAAACGCAGAGAACAATACACGGCAATCAACCTCATCCTGACATAGCAACTTCATTGGGGAATCTTGGTAGCGCATATGACAGTAAAATTAAGTTCGATGAAGCGATTCGATATCATGAAGATAGTCTTGCCATGAAGAGAATAATTCACGGTAATCGTCCTCATCCTGGTATTGCATCTTCATTGTTAAATCTTGGTAACACATACTGTAAGAAGGGAGATCACACTCAGGGTTTGCAATGTTATACACAGTGCCTCATCATGCAGAAAAAGATCTACGGTGATCAACCTCACACTGATATGGCAGGTGTTCTAGGTAACATGGGTAATATATGTAGTGAAACAGGGGACAACGACAACGCTTTAAAATACTATTACGAGAGTCTCGCCATGCAGAGAAAGATCTTTGGTAATCACCCTCATCCGATCATAGCTTCCACATTTCACAACATCGGTAATGTATATGTGGCTACACACAGGTACGCGGAGGCACTCATGTACTTTTATGAAGCGCGCGATATGTTGAAGTTGATATTCGGTGATAATCCTCATCCTGATTTCCAAACCGTATTACAAGCTATTAACTCGACAGAAGAAATATTGACGAGATGCATGTTCGCGGCAATGCTGGTGTAGATTCAAGCTTTGCATCGGCTTCCAGATCATCATACACAATCAAATACATCACGCAAATGTGAATATAATTACAGTAATCAAAATATAGCTTGTTTTATTATTGCCGAACCGTGAAGGTACGCTCTTAAAGGGTAATGCATATCGTTAAGCAAATCGAACGTTTATTTTTGGTGATGCTCACTGATTAGCATAAAAGGCGCGATTTGTAAAATGCAAATTTTCATTTCGACAAATCAAATATTGGTGCAGTTTCAGGATCTCCTGTTTGCATGTCCTAACGGAGTTTTGATTTACCTATCAAGTACAAGGGGCGATCAACAAATAACGCAAATAGAGCCCTATCTCAGAAACTAATTGGAGTTAGAGCACCAAATTTGATACGTAGTATCATTAAATATTCATTATTATTGCAACAAAAAAGAGGCACAAATATTACTTTATGTCAGAGTTACGGTTGCCATAGAAACCAGTGGTATGGGCACCTGAAGCAGGTCGCAAATCATAACAGTATTGAACGTCTGTCCAAAATGAGTTTGAAAGACACTGTTAAGTCAAACAAATTTGATGTTATTTGGGTGTAAATCAGTTCTGAAAAAATGCTGTTAATTGATGTGATCTACTTTTAGTTGTTATTTTATAATGCCTACCCAACAATAGCTTTGTCATTAGGCTATACATGTCGATAAGATGACAGAAACCACAGGCATTGAGGAAATCAAAGTCAAGTCAGCCATACTGAAAGATGGTAGAATTGAAAACTTCAGTCATCAGACTTCCATAGAAGACAGAGAGAACTGATATAATGCTGTATTTTGAATAAAATGTCACTGTAAAAAACTTATGAGATGCTAATAAAGTCATTTGGTAATGAAAATGGACTAAGCAATGTCTTCAGATGGTACAGTACGATTTTAGAAAAACCAAGAAGATCTGCTGAAGATGCTTCCCATACAGGTGCTTCAAAAACAACATGCATAGCAGAGATGATTAAAGAAGTAGAGCAGCTGGTTATGGTTGATAAGACTGTCACTACTTAACATGAACTGGGCATGAGTTATGAGTCTGAAAATGATTGTTAAAAAAACTGTGACATCATATATTTGAGGTGTTTCAGGTGCCGATGACTTGGGTTACCGTATGCTAAATCCTTATTGTTACTTAATATTCAAGACCTGCTTCAGGTACCCATACCACGGGTTACTATGGCAACTGTTACTTTGGCATATATCAGTGTTTGTGCCTGAAACTTTCTGGAAATATTAATGAATGTTTGGTGATATTATGTATTAAGTTTAGTGTACTAACTCCGATTAGTTTCTGAGATAGGGCTCTATTTGCGTTATTTGTTGATCACCCCTTGTATAATAGTCTGGCAGAAATATAGGGTATTTTGACATTCAATCGTTTTCTTCGGATTACAATGTTTTTTTTAACTTATCAACATGAATATAGGATTGGGACCTCAAAACCACCTGATGCCGGTGCGGCACCTTTGGGCAACTCCCTACAGAGCATTTCTTATACCCCCTGATAAAATATACAGGGGGTACTATAAGACACCCTCATATCTCAGATACTGATAAATATATTAATTTGAGATTTTCAGGTATTAGTTTTAGTATGATGCTTGATATGCATGACAAAAATCAAGAAAAAATCTTAATTCGTTGCTATAGCAACAATAACAAAACACTATTTGTTACCGTAGATATGCATTATTTTGCTGATTTTCAACATTACTATAGTACTATATACTAGTTGATTCTTAAACTAGTATATTGTATTACACTAGTATATAGGACAGTGCATATTTTATAGTTAGTATATACATGTATATCAAATGAAATCTAATGAATTCATAATGTCTAAATTTTATAAGCATTGGCTTTCCTCATCTGAGCAATCAGACTACTGGGGGACCCTGTATAGCTTCTGGGGGCCACTGGGGACCATCGTATAGCTTTTAAAGGCACTGTGAATATTTGATTTAACATTTAATTCAATTGGATATTTCTCTAACAGTGAAATTTAATGGCCATGAAACATTTCAGATTGACAACATCGTGAATTTTTTGTCAGTGAAAATTTTGGCTTACTTCTGGGGGCCACTGGGGGCCCTCGTATGGTTTCTGGAGGCCACTGGGGGCCCCTGTATAGCTTCTAAGGCCACCATATAGCTTTTTTGGGCCACTAGGGGCCCCTGTATAGCTTCTGGGGGCTCCTGTTTAGCTTCTTGGGGACACTTGGGGGCTACCATATAGTTTTTGGGAGTCACCGTATAGCTTCTGGGGGCCCCTGTATAGTTTCTTGGGGCCATTGGGGGCCACCGTACAGCTTCCGGGGGCTACCATATAGTTTCTGGGGGCCACTGGATGCCATCAAATAGCTTCTGGCGGCTACTGGGGGCCACCGTATAGCTTCTGGGTGCCATCATATAGCTTCTGGGGCCTACCATATATAGCTTCTAGGGGCCATTTGGAGCCCCTGTATAGCTTCCGGGGGCTACCATATAGCTTCTGGGGGCTACTAGGGGTCCCTGTATAGCTTCTGAGGGCTCCTGTTTAGCTTCTTGTGGACACTTGGGGGCCACAATAGAGTTTTTGGGAGCCACCGTATAGCTTCTGGGGGCCCCTGTAGTTACTTGGGGCCACCGTACAGCTTCTGGGGGCTACCATATAGCTTCTGGGGGCCACTGGAAACCATCCTATAGCTTCTGACGGCTACTTGGGGCCACCGTATAGCTTCTGGGTGCCATCATATAGCTTCGTGGACCTACCATATAGCTTCTTTGGGCCACTAGGGGCCCCTGTATAGCTTTTTGGGGCCACTGTTAAGCTTCTTGGAGCCACTGGGGACCACCATATAGCTTCGGGGGGCTACTAGGGGCCGCTGGATATGCTTCTGGGGGCCACCATATAGCATTCCGGGGCCACTGTATATCTTTATGGGGGCATTAGGGGCCACTGTATAGATTCTGGGGGCTACTGGGGGCCCCTGTATAGCTTCTTGAAGTCACCATATAGCTTCTAGGGGCCATTTGGAGCCCCTGTATAGCTTCTGGGGGCTACCATATAGCTTCTGTGGGCTACTAGGGGTCCCTGTATAGCTTCTGGGGGCCACCTTATAGCATCTTGGGGCCACTGGGGGCCCTTGTATAGCTTCTGGGGCCATTTTTTATTTGAACCTTGAAAATTAATCTATTTTGCCAGATTTGGTGGCTGTCGAGGTGGGGTAAAATTAAATTATATTTATTTTTCAAATTCCTGTGGCTATTTATCTCTAAAGCAGCACTTTTTTACCTAGGGAGCATAACCTTTTCAAGAAGTGTTATTTTGGACCACCTTTTTAAAGAAAGTAAAATGTAAAAACCGATTATTAAGTGATGTTACCATAGCAACTGAAATGTTAGATATATAACATAAACCATATGATGAATTATTTCATCTTTACTTCTAATCATGTATATAACAGATACGTATATACTTCAGATGCTTAAAGAATCAAGATTATCAAGAAACTTATGAAAATCAGCAAAATAATGCATTTCTATGGTAACAAATAGTGTCTATTTCTGCTGCTATAGCAACGGATTAAGATTTTTCTTTGATTTTTGTCACATGTGTCAAGCATCATACTAACACCAATTCCTGAAAATTTCAAGTTAATATATTTATTAGTGTCTGAGATATGAGGGTGTCTTATATTACCCCCTTTATATTTTATCAGGGGGGTATAAGAAATGATCTGTAGAGAGTTGCCCAAGGGTGCCGCTCCGGCATCCAGTGGTTTTGAGGTCCCAACCCTATATTCATGCTAATAAGTTTAAAAAACATTGTAATCCGAAGAAAACGATTAGCTTTGAAGTTTCTGCCAGACTATAAGTACAAAGCATGGTCTCGTGAAATGTCCTATAAATAAAATAAAACGGAATAGGAACATCGAGATTTGTAATGACCCGTGCATCCTCTCAACCTCTAAATATATTTTACAGATTGTAAACCTTTTGTTCGACTATTTACAGCCAAACTGTTTCGGGTATAAGCTAAAAATTCAAGGGATATTTCTATATATTAAGGTTTATAACTAATGAGTTTTTTGGCAATATGGGTAAATGTTAAGGTGGCCGAAAACGGTATTCTATTCAATGGGTGCGATCCTGTTCACATTGCATCCTTGTTGACATTACTCTGGTCATCATCACATTTTTCGTGACAATCAAAACCTTTTTTCTAAAAGCTTCATGAATTCGGTCGGTCTTGGTGGTTGATTTTAGCCGTAGCCACAATTGGTCAAAGATGAGCAATAAGTCCTCATTTGATAGTTGACCCCTGACGATGACAGTCCATATCGCAAAACGTATTAAGACCTATTTTCAAAAAATGCCACAATTTTAGTATATGTCCAAATAGTAAAAAATTTGATTTAGTTTTTACTAATTATTTTGACCCCTGCTACACGCATAATTCAGCACAAAAGCCTGAAGAATATTGAATGGCTATGATACAAAAAACAATTTAATTTACACCCCAGTCACATTTCCTACGGCGACCTTGCGGTCTATCATTTCTGCGGCCAGTAACATTTCTACGCTCGCCGTGGAATTTCTGCGCTCTCATACTTTTGCAGTCACATTTCCCACGGTAGCCGCACGGTGAATTTAAAATTTCTGTTGATGAATAATTCTTTTTTTATTTTATTTACATCGGGACAATTTATAAAATAAATGTTATTCATAGTGCTAGGATGTAATATCAAATGAAAAGTGATCGTGAAACATTGACAAATAATGATTCAATCTTGTTGAGCCAGTTGATTTCTACGGGGACCTCAGAAATGAACAACTATTATAACCGCCTTCCCCGCGGCCTGTAAAAATCTACATACGCCGTACGGAGGCCGCAAGGCGAGCGTAGTTAATCTACGCTCGCCGCAGAAATTCACCGATTTAATTGATCTGCGGTCGACTTGCGGCCGCCGTGCGACAAATGTGACTGGGGTGT